TGTAATCAGACTGCCAATTAAGCTAACTTGGGCCTTTTAAAATCTCAGTTATGCAAATCAGCCAAGTCTTCCCCTCACTTTGTGCCATTTAGACACATGTGCAATTTTGAGAGAGCTCTAACAATGTAGTTACCTGGAAGTGTGGAGGGGGCAGGTTGTGTCACATTTTCATAGCTAAATGACTTCTCTAAGCCTCAGGGAAGCACAGAAGGGGCCAGAGGTAACCTCCTGCAGCAGGAAATGGGAGCTTCATCCTGCTCTCCTTGCCAACCTCCTGTCCCGTTTCCTCCAGCAGATATCTCCATTCCAATCTCCCCTGCCACTTGGGCCCACTCATTATCATAGATCAAGTGTTCAGAGAAAACTGCACTAACTAGGCATAGGCAGAGGGAGCCTGGCCAAGTCACTAAGTGGACTGCATGAAAAAAGAACAACAACAACACAACAACAACAAAGAGACATGTTTTACATAAGATTTTGCACACACCCACACACACATCCTTTTAGTTTACTTAGCATATAGCCATGATAATTACTTAGCCAAATCAATGAAATCATTCAAAACTAGAGTGGCACAGAATTTCTAGTTGCAAATGATTCATTAGGGCTAGGCATGATAAAGAAGGGTGAGGAAATGGACTGCATAATTGCTTCAGTTCTCTGCTTCCCTTTGCATATGTTCGTTATTGAGAATCAATTCCAGTTTGAGAGGAGGCTTTAATTCCCAGTAAATGAATAGGAAGTGAGTAAGTAAACGTTCAGTATTTCCCTCGAATTATGTCTTGTAATGTAAGAAAACAGTGGCAAAAAGCCATCAACAGATGGTGTTTTCATTAGCCAAAGATTTATTTTTCCAAGCACTTTCATATTAATGAAGTAAGGTTGAAATTAGAGTCATCTTGTCAGTTCTAGTTCTGGGTTGATAAAATGTGCTGGCATTCGGCAAATTGCTAGGGGGTGGGCAGAGCGAAATAACCATTTGCTATGATGTTGTGATGGTAACCCAAGGTCTATAGTCTAATCAGACCCCACATTATATGTTCAGCCTTAATTTTTGTTTTCAGTGGCTTTACAGAAGCTGTGAGTCTCAGTTGTGAGCCATAAATGAGAAACACACGGCAGGGATTAGTCCTGCTCTACACGATGAATTATTTATAAGATATCAGTTTCATGACAAGTGTTGCAACAGGTTGCATGCATTTGTTAGGAAACATTCTCCCCTTGGAATCCCATGTTTGAAAGAAACCACATTACAGTTGAAACACAGGTTTCTAACATTATATATACTCTGAGTTCATCAATCTACACTATATTTACCTAATACATCGATAGAGTCATTTGTGATACATGGAATGTCCACTGATCTAGGAATCTGGACCACTCTGCCTGAGGAAATCACAAACTGATTGTATCCGTTACCCGTGCCTACTCTCTAACTTGAGCTGGAATTTTTGAACTAACTACAGCTCCATCATATTCACCTTATGGCTCAATTTTTGAAGAGGAGTCCAGACTTGTAGCCTCTACGTCATCATTATTGACATACTAACCCTGCACAGTTTGGCACTTGCTTCCAAAACTCTGCTGAAACTCCTTTATCAAAGGTCACCAGTGACCTCTAATTACCAAATTCAGCTACCTTTTATCAGGCCTCATATTTCTTGCCCTCTCTGCATATTTCAGAGTGACAAATCCTTTCTTGAAACACGTTTTTCTTGATTATCCTCTTAGCTTGACCCATATCTGCATTACCAACTGCTTTGCATATTGCAAGTCTCCTCTTGACCAGTGCCCCTGCTCCCAGGTCTTCTTGTTTTAGTCTGCCCCACATAGGTTGATCTCATAAATGCAGCCCTGATTATGTCATTATCTTGCTCAAAAGCCTTTGATAAACACCTACTGCTTTAAAAAAAAAACAAGTACAGACTCCTCACCTAGACATTTAAGACCTTCATAACAGAGCCTCAATCTCCATTTCCAGCCTTGTGCCATATAATAAATAGCCTTCATGGTACTAATAAAATACATATCAGTTTTAACTTAGTACCAGCACATACTGTAAAGCAATTATCCTCCAATTAAAGAAATATCAGGGACTTCCCTGGTGGTCCAGTGGCTGAGACTCCATGAGCCCAATGCAGGAGGCTAGAGTTCAGTCCCTTGTTGGGGAACTAAGATCCCACATGCCTGCAGCGAAGAATTTGTGTCCTGCAGCAAGACCCGGTGCAGCCAAATAAATAAAAATAAATATATAAAAAATATCAACCCCCCCAAATTTAACATAGTAATATCCATTATAAGGCTTTAGAAAATATTAACTACTTCAAAGTAAGTCCTAGGGCCCATATTTAAAACTTAGTTGTCATGAATGTCCATTGATTCGTTCTTTCAATTCCTTCATGCAGTATATGTGGACTATATGCCCCTCGGGCAGAAGGGTTGCAACTAAGACCAAATCAGACATAATTCCCCTTCAGGGAGATGAAATTACACTTTAGAGCAGAAGATGGACAATAAACAAGCACCAACAGCTATCTAAGTATAAATTATGATAAGTACCATGAATAAATAAATCCATCACCAGCCAGTTGAAAATAATTTGAGTGCACAGGTCTGGGTGAAAGTCTCAGGATGGACAATTATGGGGGATCTATGTTCTGATGTTAGGGGCCTCGACTTCAGTGCTGACAGAGGAAATCAACAGGCCCCCAATATGGGCCATAAGAATGCTTTTTACGTAGAAAACATTGCCCTTCTATAAAAACACTCTAAAGTACTTGGTGAAATTAATCACCTTTTTAAAAAAAAAACTTTTTTTTTTATATTAGAGTACAGCCCATTAACAATGTTGTGATAGTTTCAGATGTCCAGCAGAGTGACTCAGCCATACATATACATGTATCCTTTCTCCCCCAAATTCCCCTTCCATCCAGGCTGCCACATGACATTGAGCAGAGTTCCCTGTGCTATACAGTAGGACCTTGTTGCTTATCCATTTAATATATAGAAGCGTGTACCTGTGCATCCCAAACTCCCTAACTATCCCTTCCCTTTCCCCTTTCCCCTTGGGAAGCATAAGTTCGTTCTCTAAGTCTGTGAGTCTCTGTTTTGTAAATGAGTTCATTTGTATCTTTTTTTCTTTTTTTAGATTTCATGTGTAAGGATATCATATAATATTTCTCCTTCTCTAAGACCCATCTTAATTTCATCTCCTCTTTATCTCTGAAGTCAAAGCACCTTGAATAGAGTGGGTGCTCAATACCTTCTATATTAAATACAAATGAAATACCTTTTGTATTAAGTCTCTGAACTGCCATCTCTTTCCTTTGTCCTGACATCTTCTTTGCTTAGAACTCACATCCAAATCAACAATTGTGGGCCTTCGTGTTTTCCTTTGTCTCTCTTCCTTTTTCCTTGCTCAGGGGAAGACCACACATTGAGATGGTGGTGGAGTTAAGGAAGGCCAGGAGAGACACAGTGCCCAAGCCAAGAAAAATGGAACAAATGGTGAAAACTCACTCCCATGGGAATAAAGCCAGAGAACCCAAGAGAGATCTGGCAAGAAGCAGGGATTAAGCTGATCCTCGTAATCCAGATTGAGGACAAGTGAGATCAGATTACCTGTCCTAGCAATATATATATATCCATGGGAATACTCACCTGGGATAGATTCGTGGGACAGTGCCAAGGATACTAAGGAACCACAGCTACCTAGCAAAGAAGAAAGGGGCCAAGTATACGAGTCCTCTCCCCTTTTTCCCACTCTTCCTTGCCCCCTCTTCCCTGCCCCTGCCCAAAACATGAACTTTGAACAACTATGAACTGTAGGAATGATGAAGACAGCAATGAAGCAATGGGCACAACCAAGGGAAGCCATGCTATGCTAGCAGAATAAAGGCCCAGAAGTTGGGGTAATACATTTGGAGCAGACTTTGTTGGGATGGTGAGTGAGAGAGGAATGGTTATTGGGGCAGGTCCTGGAAGAGAAGCAGCCACCAGAGCTGAAGACTTGAAAATGAAGAGTAATTTTAAAAAATCCTATTATTAATCTAGAGTGAATAACATTCTGTTTTTGTTTTCCCACAGGAGGAATGGAAGAGAGTAGCATGCTCAACTGAAAATATGCTAGGAGGTCTTAGTACTGCTGTAACCATGTTGTAATAAACAGATCTGCAAAGAATCTATGTCCCAATAAATGATAGTAAGCAATGAATGTCCTGTCTTGATATAGCCAGGCTTTGCAGTTCGAAGTCTGGCATTTCTGTAGGCTATTGCTTAGTGCCAAAAGAGGGAAGCTGTGAGATAGAAAGCTAGATTCTGATGAATTTCACACTTAAAATACCAACTTTTTTTTTCTGAAAGAACCTACAAAAGACAAAGACAAAATAAATATCATGAAATACTGAGGCAAAACTGTATCTGATGACTAGAGACCTGGGTTCCAGTCTTAGCTTTGCCACATGCTAATGTTATGACTGGGCCAAGCACTTTAACCCCGCTCTGCAGATCATTTCTCTCATCTGTAAAATGCTGACATGATTATTAAATGATATGTTTGAAATTGCCTTGGTTAGTGTCTGGCAAGTAGTAATTATTCAATAAGTTATAGTTTTCTTAGTCAACTTACCTGTAAAAAAGAGAATAAAACCTATTTTCCCTATGTCACAGGATTACTATGAGGGCAAAATGAGATATTGACTCTGAGATACTTTCAAAAGTTTAAAAATATTATAGAGAACATAAAGTTGCTTTAAAGTCATTAAATTCCTACATCCTCCAAGTCATGAATGTCATTTTTCCCCAAAAATGGCAATCTGGAACAAAGGTACAGCATTATTAATCAGCACCTAGAACAATGCTTGGCCCATATGCAATGAATCTTTGAAATAATTGTTGACTGACTGATAACCACATGATACTGGGTCTCAAACTCATTGAACATTTCTTCTTTCTCCCCCCTCTTCCATGCTTCTCTCTGGCTTCATATTTGGCAATGGCAGCAAACTCTGGAGATGAACCTCACCAACCTGGTTAAGCGCAACAGTGAACTAGAAAATCAAATGGCCAAGCTAATACAGATCTGCCAGCAGGTTGAGGTACGTAACAGAAACTTTTGTCATTCTTTCAAAGAACTGGGATCCAGTGATCCTTTTGAGGGGATTTGTTTTGCCAGAGTATGACTCAGTCATTTGGAGTGAAAGGCTTAATGAGAATTCTTTTTTTTTTTAATATTTAAATTTTTTTCTTTTTTCTTATTTATTAGTTGGAGGCTAATTACTTTACAATATTGTAGTGGGTTTTGTCATACATTGACATGAATCAGCCATGGATTTACATGTGCTCCCCATCCTGATCCCCCCTCCCACCTCCCTCTCTGCCCGATCCCTCTGGGTCTTCCCAGTGCACCAGGTCCGAGCACTTGTCTCATGCATCCAACCTGAGCTGGTGATCTGTTTCACCCTAGATAATATACATGTTTCGTTGCTGTTCTCTCTAAACATCCCACCCTCACCTTCTCCCACAGAGTCCAAAAGTCTGTTCTATTAATGAGAATTCTAAGAAATCTAATTCCTTCAAGATGCATGTTCTAAGAAAAGTGGCAGATAGCTATTGTTTAAAGGATAATAATAAGTGGTAGTGGTGAGTGGAGGGGAAGACATCAGCCCAAGGGGCAGTGCTGTCTCCTCTTCCAATAGCAGGTGGTATGAGAATCCAACATGAAGTGTGTTTCTTTCTTTATCAGACTAGACATCATAGCTCCTTAAAGAGATTGCTGGAGAATAAGAAAAGTTGGGAACCTGAGGTCCTTGGGGATAGAGTGAGGTTTGTTCAATGCAATATTATTTCTGTAAAAAATATGATTAGAATTGCTTCTCTTCTTCCTAGTCCCTTCTCCCTTCTTTTTCATACACCTTACCTGGTCCTCACTCATCACCTTTCCACTTCTTCTTGTCATCATCAAATGGTATCTATGTTAAAGTTATCTGTTTCCAAATGTGTTATCTACATCAAATCTCAGAACAAAGCTTATGAGAGGAGTTGACCTCTTCATAAGTGGACATGATAGAAGAAAGATGCTTTTTCTCTCTTTTTCTCAAGAGCCTGAAACTTCAGCCATAGCATTTGGTTTTGTGTTGATTTTCTTGATGAGGTGCCGGTAGAGCTTAAAGTGTAGACAGGGTTGGGTAAAATATTATAGGACTCCTTGTGGGCAGTGGTTGGGTAAAAATGTTTCTATTTATAACCTGATACTCTAGTTCTAGGGCTTCCCTTATAGCTCAAATGGTAAAGAATCTGTCTGCAATGCAGGAGACCTGGGTTCGATTCCTGGGTCAGGAAGATCCCTGGAGAAGGAAATGGCAACCCACTCCAGTATTCTTGCCTGGAGAATCCCATAAACAGAGGAGCCTGGCACACTACAGACAATGGGGTTGTGAAGAGTTGGACACAACTTACTGACTAAAACCACCACCACCACTCTAGTTCTAGTCTTACTTATATCACAGAAAATGTAATGGTTCAAGTTTATTTCAAAAAATAAAATAACTTTATTAATATCTCATCTCTTAATCCCCCCTGGGGATTCCTATTTAAAAGAATGTGGAGAATCTTCTTAAGGCAAATTCTTTGCCTTCTTATGAAAGGCAAAGAATCTTATATGAGTAACCACTCCTGATTGTTTGATATCTTAAAGTACTGGGTTTCTTAAAGTAGGTTGTTCTTGTAGGATGAGCATACCATAGCAATTTAATCACTGCTGGGTGTTCCATTCGTGGAAGAGAGTGGTGGTGTATGTAGGGTACATAGGATACTGGTTAAACTCAGGTGCAAACTTGTGGAATGGGGTGGGGAATTTAGGAAGAAGTATAAGGAATGGAAAGAAAAAATACTGGAATGTAAGTTGGAAAATTGGGTTCTAAATGTGACTCTGTCATTAACTGGTAGTATGATCTTGGGTAAGTCATCTAGCCTTTCAACTTCAGTGTCCTTACCTATAAAATGAGGGATTTAACTGAATACATGACCTTCACTGTCTGTTCCAAAGGCATGATTCTGTGAATAGTTACTTTATTCTTTTCTTTTTCTCTTCAGTCTCATCCTTTCCAAGAGGGGAGAAGCAAAATAGAAGGCATTTTAGAATGGTTTTCAGCTAATCAGAATCCCTTTATGTTCCACTCTATCAAAGCTTCTGATTATGCCGTTAGATTACAGTGTAAGAAATCCACACTGGTGAAGAGACAAGGAAGTATTGTGAGCAGGCGACAAGAAAAGGAATCCCTTTGGTTTAGAATTTGCATGATTGAGGGTGGGGTAACAGCTCATAGTGAATAAAACATGGTTAGAAATTATAATAATCGCTTTCTCAGTCTCATCACAAAGTTATTTAAGTAGAGAGCAAGTTGTAGTCAAATTAGCAAAGTAAGCTGTTTCTTTTCATTGCTTATTCACTTTAACACTGCTCTAACATCTTATTACACACCCCTCCCCCCACCTCCAGAAACTTATCGCTCTGGCCAGCCTCACCCAAACAGCCCTGTTCTAACCTTTCCCAGCCCATTGCGCCAATCAAACCTGTATAATTCAGGGCCCTACTGTTTTCAAGCATTAAGGAGCTAGCCTCATAAAACAATACATCATTGTATAAATGGAGAAGGACTCATTCTGGCCCTCTAGGTTATAGGCAATGTTTTCACAGTGCCTTTCTGAAGCTAGTATTCCTGCTTGAGCCTTCAGGAGATGATGCTAGTGCCAAATGTAAGCAGAGTAGCTGGGAAGAGCAGCCCCATGGCAACCAGCAAAGGAAGTGTTTAAGAGGCTTCCTTAGGGATGCTTATAAAATCCTTGGCCACTGTCTGCTTTCACACACAAAAGGTCACCTTTTATTGATACTTACTTATGCATAGCATTGGGCTTCCCTGGTGACTGAGACATGAAGAATCTGCCTACAAATGCAGGAAATGCAGGTTCGATCCCAGGGTTGGGAAGATCCCCTGGGGAGGGCATGGCAACCCACTCCAGTATTCTTGCCTGGAGAGTCCCATGGACAGAGGAGCCTTGAAGGCTACAGTCCATGGGGTTTCAAAGAGTCCGAAATGACTGAGCGACTAACACTAACTATGCATAGCACTGTACCAGGTGCAAGGAAAACGGAAGAGACACAGTATTTATCCTTTAAGGGCTTACATGTTATACAAGTCCACCCTAATGTAGATACACATGTGCAAGCAATACAGACAGTGGAGTTAAAATATTAACTGAGAATTGGGAAAGAATCTTGAGATAGATAGTACATTAAATGTCAAGAGTGAGAGTGTATCTTGGAAGTTAAGTCCACCATCTTTTCAGTTTAGGATTCTGTCTTTGGTGGGGGCCCTACAGGATGGCTTCTGGATGCCCATGGCTGTGCTCTATGACATCACCCCTTCTGAAAGGTTAGGGATGTGCCCTAACTTCCCCATAATAATACGGTGAATCCAGAGTCCTTATTATGTTCATTTGGCACAGAGCCTGTGTGTCCAGAAGACTTCAGGACAGCCCCCGGGATTAGAAAGGCAGTTAAAGAATGGATTTGAGACTTCATACATGCTTATAAGGCCTTCCCTCATAGCTCAGTTGGTAAATCATCTGCCTGCAATGCAGGAGACCTGGGTTCGATTCCTGGGTCGAGAAGATCCCCTGGAGAAGGAAATGGCAACCCACTCTAGTATTCTTGCCTGGAGAATCCCATGGACAGAGGAGCCTGACAGGCTACAGTGCATGGGATCGCAAGAGTCAGACATGACTTAGCGACTAAACCACCACCACCACCACATGCTTATAAATACTTTATAAAATGAAATAAATAGAAGGAGACTGTCTGTCATGGGAGCCAGAAAATGAGGGGTTATTTGACTTTTTTTTCATTTTATCTAATGCAAATTTGTCTATCAGGAATGACTGTATTCACAGTGTAAAGCAAGCATTTCACTTCGGGCGGGAGTGGAGGATCCCAGCTAAGGCACTTCTGAGAAAACTGGAATAGGCTATTTTCCTGCCAGACCTGTTCCCCTTCCTGATTGTCTGCAAATATTTTTGTCACAGATTGACTTTTCATAAAAGAGCCATAAATACTACCTCCCCCTCCTGGTTCTTTCTCCCCATTCTCTATTCTCCTCAGAAAGTAAACAAAGCTGCAGTCTTCCTATTATTACAGAAACAGAGATTAGGATCACCACAGATTTGTTAGCTGAATTCTTTGGTAATGCAAGACTCTTAGAGTCACTGCCCAGCTTTTCAGAATTCCGTGGATAGGCAGTTGGAAAATATTTTCTGTTGGGGCTCTAGAACATGGGAAGGAGGGAGAGGCAGGCCCAAGACTCCTTTAATCTGGTTAAGGAAGGGAATGCTCTGACCTTGCTACTCTGGCCACTTGATCTCTATATATAGTTCTTTGTCCCATCTCATCAGGCATCTTTTGTTTACATTTCCAGAGGAAATCTCTGTTTAATGCATAGCCAAGGGAAAATATATACCAACAGATGAATATTTCCTCTTGGCTTCCAAGTCTACATGGTTTTGTGAATAAATAAGCATTCCTGAAAATACTGAGAGGAAGAAAAATGGTAAAATACTAATCAGTCAGGCAACGACATTTCTTAAGCAAACATGATGTACTCCATGTGGTAGGTCATTTGGGGGCTACAAAAAAAAAATAAGTTGTTGATGACCTCCAGGAACTTTTATTCTAGTGAGGAATAACCCAGTACCTAGTGAGAAAGGGGAGTATTTGTAAAACAGCTTGCAGTATAGGGAGCACAGATGAATGTAGCATGACCCTCCCAGGTTTACTTATTTTATCTTATTGTTAAATTTTAGGGCATGGAGTGGATTAAAGCACTTTCCTGGCTATTCTGTGTGCCATCTGTTTTCTTCTCCTTCAGAAATGCTGCCGGACAATGGGTCTGTCCATCCCAGAATCTCCATGGGTAGATTGATTTCTTGCTGGCTCTTCTCAAACCATTTGAGGACCTCGGTGGCATAGCTCTTTAGCATTAACAGAAAGAAAAAAGAAAGGAGATGAGCTGGCTTCCCTTGATTTGCAGAATTTCAGCTTTTC